TGCAGCTAGGACTTAGCGCTATTTCACTGAGTAGTTAGGTGTAACAGTTCGGTGTATAGGTAGGTACGCTTAGGAATTCTATGAGACGCAAAAAACTGTATCAAAGAAAATGAAAAACTGGACCTATGCGCATTACGACTAATACTATAAACATAGCGAATAAAAAATATCTATTAAAATCAAACTGAGTGCATGCATAGTTATGTTTTAACCATCGGCATTCGGCACTTTGATAATGCGGCATCAAAGGTTTTGTACTTACTTCTCAAAGAAATTTGCTGGTTTTCTGAAGTACATGGTTATGATACACGCGCCGGCGGCTTCTTTTGAAATCTAAAACAATCGTTGCCGCCACGCCGAAATCATAACATTTGACACTATTTGATTGCCGCCATAGGGCGTAGGTATACACATGCAAAATAATTTCGAATTTTAAGAGTACCTACAGGTGTTCCAAAGAATAAATAAGTTTCAGAGTGTTTAGAATGAAAATGAATACATTATACTGATCACGCAAGTAGTATTATGATTAGGATAAAATGGTCAGGATAGGTAGTAGATGTCATGTTAATTCATTCTAGTAGTAAGTATATATTATAATATTGATTACTTATATGGTTTAAAACTAATTACTTAGGTACTATTATTGTACATTTAGTCATAATATTTCTTAAGTTTTTACAAGCAAAAATAACAAAAATGTGTTCATATATCACCCGTTTAATAAATATTGTAGCCACTTTTAAATATACTTGAAACTGCTACGAGGTTATTTTCTAAAGCATCATTAGTATCTAATTAGAAAACATAGAAATAGGTTAAGTGATGAGTCAAGCCAGATAGTTACTTTGTATTAATACTTGGTCAAAAAAATTTATATGTATAGAGTATCATAACCTAATGATAAAGCTGTTGATTTGTGTTGTATTTTATTTTTTATTCATATAAATGATAAATCGTAAAACTCTTTTATTAAATTTCTTATAAGTTGAGGGTTCAATCTCTTTCTAGACAGATAAGTATTGTCCTTTAAAATACAGTCAAGTTATTGTAATTAATTTGCTTTTTTTACATGTTTTAGCAAATGTAAGCTTATAAATCATAAATGTTTATAAAGAAACAGTTACTTCCATGGAAGACGACATATAGGTCAGTTGATTTTTCGAATTTCTTATCAAATCTTCAGTTATTTATTAATCCGCTTGATCTTTACTATGGCTATGTTAATTTAAGCTCACAATGTTCCAATTCTAATACGTTTTTCTAAGATTTAAAGTAAACTTTAATAAATAGTAATAGGCTAATAGGTAATTGCAAGACTTGCAAGACTCTTGCTGCAAGACCAAGACCAAGACCAAGACTGGGAGCGCAAGACCAAGACTAAGACCAAGACTAGGTGTATTGGCGCAAGACCAAGACTAAGACCAAGACTAGGTGTATTGGCGCAAGACCAAGACCAAGACTGGCTAAGTCTCGTCTTGTTCTTGCATTTGGGCAACACTAAACCTCACTCAAACGGCGACACACAACGCTGTGGTTGTTTCACGCCGGTTTTCTGTGGGGACTTGGTATCACTCCAGTCAAGCCGACTCATTCGTCCCTCTTAATTAAAAAGGTCCAGATATATTTGGAAGATCTTTCATTTATTTTTTCACATTAGAAAAAATACTGCCGAAGCATGGATATAAAAGATAACTTAATTCTAACTTTACAAATCAAAAAGCTTTCACTCTACGCTACTACGGTATGTAGTCAGTACTTAAACCACACACGAATCGTTTTATAGTTAATTCGTGATTAATTAGACAGAGTCGTGAGTTGAATCCGCTAATTTTGATGTGATTTCTACGTAAAGAGTAAGTAATTGTGATTAAGTATGTACCTTTGATAGGTACATACTTTACCTTATGACTCTAGTTTATATACATACTAGCTACTCCGATTTGATTGTAGCGTGATGTTTTATAGCCTATATATAAGTAAAAGAATATTGGGAATCCGACCAGTGGTTCCAAAGATTACCTCCCTACATACAAACTTACAAATTTTACCTCTTTATAATGTTAGTATAGATAGATTATAACCACGTGTTTTTCTATGTCATAGGACGCAAACGGGCAGGCGCATTACTTGGTGGTAAGCAATCGGCGCCACCCAAAGACATCCACAACACCAGAGCAGTTACGAGTGCGATGTCGGCCTTTTAGGGATTAGGGTTTCGGAGATTTGGGTATAGTAGAGGGATAAGGGGAGGGAAAGAAGTATTTAGGCTCCGGTAACATCACTCACAACACAAGGTGAAATACGCGTTGTTTCACGTTAGTTTTTTGTGAGGCCGTGGTATCACTCCGGATAAGCCGACCCTTTTGTGAAGAAGAATTTTTTTTTTATGTAATATGTCGGCAAACGAGCAGACGGATTACCTGATGGTAAGCAATCAGCGCCGCCCATGGACACTCGCAACGGAGGAGCTACGAGTGCGTTGCCGACCTTTTAGGGATTAGGGATTTGGAGATTTAGGGATTGAGGAGGGATTGGGGGAGGGGAAGGATTGGGCCTCCGGTAACCTCACTCACACGGCGAAACACAACGCTGTGGTTATTTCACGCCGGTTTTCTGTGAGGCGGTGGTATCACTCCGGTCGAGCCGACCCATTCGTGCCGAAGCATGGCTCTCCCACACTTTACAACATGGGAATAGCCATAGCAACATAGAATAGCTCTCCGACACTTAAACGTGTCTTACAAGCTTCCCAAATTTAAACTGTTTAAATTAAATTAAATTATCTGAATCAATACTGGTATATATTTAAAGTAATAATTAAGAAGCCATAAGAGCATCCGATATAAAAGACAAATTAGTTCGTTATAAAATCTAATTTTTATGTGTTATGTAACGATTTGCATTGAGAAAATAATAATTAAACAACCGGCAGCCGGATCAAATTTCAAATTGCTATCAAAACGGGGCGCATTCATATTTTGTAGGGTGACCATGAGCCGCTCAAGCGGGGTCATTGGGGTTTTATGGTATTTTTTTTTGTTCACATCACTAAATAATTGGGAAAACTATGAGAGTGGGTAGTTATTGCTTTTTACTAGACAAGTTTAATTTTATTGACCAATTAAAGCCTGTAACATAATGCATACGGATTTAATGGAATAAAAATCATCTCTTCATTACTTAATAGTTATCATTAATAAATAAGATTTAGCCATGCTTACCTACGCATAAGTATCTTATTACGCTTTCCTACTCTCCAGATGTTACAGGTTTTGATAACTAACGAGACAAACCTACCTATTGGTCAAATCAAAGCAATGAACGTAGGTACAAGTATCGGATGATTGCCATTTTGATTGTGCTATATATTGTCCTTTTTAAAAACATATTATGGAAACCGTAGCCGGTGTTGTAATGGTGTGCGGGTCGTGAGACAAGAGATCTCCCTGGCGGCCATTTGTCGCGGGCGACAGCGCAGCAGCTCTCCCCGAGGCGTCGTTAGGGACAGCGCGCGTCAACGCTGCTACGCTGATTTATTCTCCTTTATTCGCGCAATTTCGCGCTTATTCGCCTTCAACCACATTTATTCGAGCTCCCAGAACTGACACATAAATGTCGCTTTTGTTTCTCTTTACGAAACGATTTAGATGCTCTGTACGCTCGGGGGCGATTCCTTTAAACCTTGATCCCTTTCGTTAACCGTAAGAATACGTTAGTGGAATGGAATTAAGAAGCCTTTTTCTTTGGTTATTGATGAAAACTCTTTCTATGGCAAATTTGCTACTTTAATAAAAGGTATATTTGAGTATGTTTTTTTAAGAATTGTAGTTAGGTCCAGTCTTTCCAGTAAAGTTAAGGCGATTAAACTTGGTACCTTTCTAAAAATTTCGCCTTCCAATAATTGCAAGTAAAATAATGTTTTCGAGTTTGGGTAAACTTATCATTTAGCTAGTTGCGATGTTTGGTTTTAAATACAATTTTAAATCGGCGAATGCTCGTTGTTTTGTTCAACGTGAATGGCAACAGGTCTATGAGACAATTCAAAATGAGACCTTTACCTAGGTGTAATTATTGCAACATATCTGGGATCCGTACCCGCAAGGTGTTACTTTTTTTTTATTGTTAACTTTATGTTTGCTTTTTCGTAGGAATTTGTCATATTTTTTTTATCTAAAAAAACGTTGCCCCACATTACGATTTTCTCCTGTGTCGTGGGTGCGGTTACAAACATACAATTTCACATACACATTACACCCAGACCCGGAACAACAATTTGTGGATCACACAAAGAGTTGTTCCGTGCGGGAATCGAACCCGCGACACGTTGTACGGCAGCCGGTTGCCCAGCCACAGCACCAACCGTGCGGTACAATTTTTTTTTAAAACCAACATGTTCCGTCTCTTACTTTGGCCCTAGACCGTGGTATATCATTGCGTTTGCACCTGCAATCAGCTGGACATTGCAACTAATGGGCCCCATCCGTGGTGGTCTGGTGACCCTATGCACTCGAGTCTAGCACTGATCAGGCGGTGAGTCATTCTAGCTCTCTGATGGATGGAGATGGTGGCGCGATCTCCGCCCCGACGCCTGGAATATTTCCTGTAGCGGTTGATGCGTCAGGAGGATCGTTCATGCAATGCACTTTCCGCCATCATGATTAGAGCCCGACTACTTCACAGAAGGAAGAAACCCCAGTCCTTTTCACTCTGCACCATGGCATGCAGCACAGCCCAACAAGCAGAGCACAGCGCCACCGTAAGCTCCATCGGGTTTCAGTTAGTAAGTAATACGGTAAGCTAGTACCGATTTAAGTCGAAAGAAACAAATATTGTATCGATTCTTAAAACAAATAGGTAGTTAAACAAGTAGGAAACTATCACCAAAATAGTCCAATCGCTTAAGTAAACACATAAAAATATTTCACATTAATTATAGTTCATCTCGTAATGACCCGAAACTACGTCAGCTGATAAAACAAACAGATAACGCAGTTGTCCGAAGTTTTTACTAACGTTTGTACGTAAATTTATTTACAATGGCTTCTCTAACATTACCAATAAGTATTTCTGAAGTCAATTCTTTGAGTGATGAACAGTTTGAGTCTGTGTTCGCTAACGTTATTGAATTATGGCCGAATGCAGCTAAAGAAGTAAAAAAGCAGAGGCCTTTCCAAAATGTATCTGTACTTTGTGAAGCATTCCAAACGTATTTGGAGGATATTAAGGTGGGAGGTAAGATTGCAAATATTTCATGAAAAATCGATTGCTTTTTAACAGAAAGGAATCCATTGAATGGATGTTGTAAAGAGTGTCATAAGTATATGTTCATCAATACGACATAACAGTCATAATACTTAGTCCCAGGCGGAACAAGTCTATAAAATTTGTTATCGCAAATTATGTTGTGCTTTGTCGTATGGCGTTAGGGAATGTGATGGGGTAGCGAGAAAGGAAAGACGAAAATTTTAATAGAAGTTTACTTGAGATCATTAAATAACGAACAATTGGTATTGCTTCCCTTAAGTTGGTTCCAGAATATTTTCGTCCGTGACCAACCGTTATCACCAATCTCTAAAAATTTTGTATCGTCGATGCACCTGCAAATCCTCTGGTGTTGCTAGTGTACCGACCTATGGCCATAAATAAAAGAATAATTCCAGATAAGCTGACGATACTGAAGCTGCACCCTGACCTAGCGGGACGGCTAGCGGCGCGTGGTCAGTTGACAGCAGAGTCTGCTGGCGAACAGCGTGCAGCTGGGCTGGAAGAACTGACGCCTGAGCAGATGAAACTCATGGATGAGAGTAACCAAAGGTAAATATTAAAGTACTTAGCTTTAGGTGTAGCTACCTAGGGAGGAGACTACCTAGTATTTCCTTTCTTATTTTTACAGTCTGGTAAAAATAGGGTTGTCCATATTAAAAGGAGGTGGAGGCTAGCTTGTGAAATAAGCTGTGGTTCCGTGTAAAAGTTAAATAATGTCGCGGCCTCGGCCCGGAGCAGCAGGTTTTTGGTTAGGAGTTTGACATTTCCTTTCGCCACACCCAGGATGGTAGAACTCATTTGATGATATCCTCTCGACCAAATAAAACTCAATGGCGAAAGTAGGTTTTCTAGGATACCATTAACAGAAGGCACGGTGGTCACTGGTAGACAAATTCACTTCTGTTAGTTTCAGACAAATTGATCGAAGTAAACTATTGCTACCTTTACCTATCCAATAGATAGGGATCCGGGTTGCGGGGTAAGCCCAATGAGACACCGCGACCTCGGCCCAGAGCAGGAGAAGGAACGGGAGGGTTTTTAGTCAGTAAGAGTCTGACACTCCTTCCGCCCCGCCCTGGGCAGGAGAAGACATTTGATGATTTTCCCCTCACCAAAAAACTTTCCAATATATTGAGATTCACTTCTCTCTAACAACACGTCTGTTCCCGTTCTCGTTCCAGTCCAAATTCACAGTTTTCCTCAAGTATTATTGACGTTATTACGGATGACTAAAATCTGAAATATATTATTTGAGTTGAATTGAATTTCAAAATATTGAAATCTAATAACCTGCTGACCTCAGTAGCAGGTTAATAGATTTTCACCTTCAAGCGTTTTCCAATTGTACGAAAAAATGCAAACTAAGTATTTAATAGGTGTCTGGTACTCATTATCTACGCAAAGTGGTATCAATATGACTATTTCCATTTTTTTGACGCAATGCCGCCACAATCACTGCCTCATCGAAGCCAAGATCTACTACAAAAGAACCATCTAAAGACTGAAATAACTGGAGACTTACTTGTTCTAGGGGCATTACGGCCGGGCTTGTGGGCCAAGCGTAATACCTAGATAAGGCACCACGGCCTCGGCCAAGAGCAGGAGAAGGAACAGGGGGGGGGGAGGAGAGGGTTAGTAAGAGTCTGAAACTGTGGGCAGGAGAAATCAATTGATGATTTTCACAAAAAAAGGCAATATATTTTAGCACATATCGGATACTTATGTCACGTTAACTTTGTCAAATTTACATTTGAAACGTACCCAAATCGTATATCACGGGGAGTGTTCTGAGGAATTGTTCTGGTGGTTTTTCCCGCCGCATCTTTTCGCCATCGTTCTATCCGAAAGCATATTTATCCCATCACATAGATGGCTGGCAATCAACAACTGTGTTTACGAGTAACTTCCTGCCCCGCACAGCAAAACTTTGTAATGATCTTCCGGCGACGGTATGCCAAATCGATATGACCTTTAAACCTTCAAGAAACGAGCGTACTCCTTCTTAAAAAGCCGGCAACGCGCCTGTGACTCCTCTGGTGCAGGTGCAGGTTGCAGGTGTCCATGCGGGGCGCCGATCGCTTACCATCAGGTGATCCGTTTACCGATGGAACCATACCGGGAAGGCGCACCTAGGATCCTTGTTTGGCAGTCGTGATTGTCGCACCAACGAAGCATTCTATTTGCATTTCAATGCTTGAAAAATATCCTTAGCAAACATGAACACATATCACCTCAGAATTTAGGAAGTTTATTGACGTAGGACGTTTGTTTGTACCTAAATGTTAAAAAATATAGTTTTTATGTTTTACGAAATAATTTTGCTGCCCTGACTGGAGCTATCCAGAAAAAAACAAGTAGATGCCACTTTAGCTGATTCTAAATGCAGTCGCGTTAGGTTATATATTGTATAATAAATAAATGAAATTTGAACCTAGGAAGCCAGTCGAATTCACTGATTGGTTTGAAAAATTATTAAATAGTTGTTTTCTTATACATCGGAAATATGGCTGGTAGCGCCATCTAGTCAGTCGTAATTGTGCACAACTTGATCTAGTGCTGCCATCTTTTGAAGATTTTTGGTAATTAATTCCAAACGTTCAAAATGACTTGTTTAATCTATTCGCCACAAGATAGCAGCACTAATAGGTTACTAAACTGTTTAGATTGTTTTCTCTGGATGTCGTTATAAAATTTATTTTCCTTTATTTCAGGTACAAAGCTAAATTCGACTTTCCCTTCATTATTTGCGCAAGGGAAAATAAAGTACAGTCAATAATTGAAGGCCTACAACGTCGGTACAATAATAATAGGGAGCAAGAAATCACAACTGGTATCAATGAGGTGAAGAAAATTTGTAAGCTCAGAATACTTGACTTTGTAAAGAACTGAATGTTAAACCAAATTAAGTTTTTAAAAGACTTCTTTTTGCTACTCAACATTTAGCCATGACAATTCTGGTATTAAATAAAATTAATAAATTATAAGTATGAGTTTTTATTAAAATCAGCAGTACAATACAGAGAAACCTAAACTAACTAGCTCACAGAATTCCGAGAGATCTCTCCACAACGGCATGGGGCTGGCCAGCCACTTCACATAACTCTGGAGTGTTCAGAATATCCTCAAATCCAATATCCAAGTGCTTGCCTGTCAGCACATCATGTTGGAAGTTTGAACGCTGGAGGAATGGAAGGTGGCCCACCTGGAAAACAATTTGCGAAAACTTTGATAATCTATTCCTAAAGTATGTTATATACTAGGAATGTTATGCATGCATGTAAAACAAATTATTATTAATAATCTTTGATAATAACCCTAAACAGAACCTAGAATAAAAACATAAACTTTTAATCGCATTTAATATGATACTGGTTTTTATAAGGGTTTGTAGCCAAAATGTCTCCTTATGAAAATGCAATTAAAATTTGCTGCCTCTCTAACTTTAAAGTAAGAGAGTGATAAAACTATGAAGACTAGAATTTACATTTCTTTGCAAACTTTCACCAAACAATAATTTGAATAAAATCTAGTAATTAGTTTTTAAATGCATCATAAACCATTTTTTGATTATGAACCCTTCATGGGTGATTCTGGTTCATACTTGGCTGCATTATTAACAATTCTAAATGAAAGCTCACATTACGGAATGTTGTAACAATGTCGAGTTGTATGGCCAGCAAATAAATCTAGCTTAATAGTACAATGTTGGTTAAATTGGGCAGCTACATAGGTACCAATGATTATTGGTAGGATTTTACACCATATTTTGCATCAGATATACATTATTGACATTACAGTTCAAATTTACACATACTAATAGTATAACACTATAATCTCATATATTTAATAGACATGCTTACTTTGTTGGTGAACTTCATTTCCATGGTTAGTTTGAGTGGTGCATGCAGACCCTGGATGTTACGGAGCATAGCCATGTTCATCTTTTCCTGATTTAAGTGATACTGAAAAAAAAACACATTGTTTTAATATTGAATCCTATTTTTTTTTAACATTTCTTTTTGTGGGTTCTTTCATAAAATTTTAGTTGTTGTTTTAAAGTAAAAATAGATACATGATACACATAGATTATGTAGTTTCTAAATCAGTTCATCTTTGTTAAAGGTGAACAGTTTTTTTAATGGTAGAAGAGCTTGAATTATGAACCAACAGAACAATCTAGGACATTCCTTCAACAATTTTCTGTCTTTTTACAAAGATTTTAGGTGTGATGAAATGAGGATCCATGTGCACAATGTATTTTCTGTTCTCTCAAATATACCGATTTATCAAGGACCAAACATTGACATTTTAAGAATAGAAATCTTTGACCAAAACACCTACAGAAAGCTAAGGTTCAGTTCCTAAATGGATATTGATATACATTGCTTACTAAACAGCAATTACTCATCACATTTAACACGGACTGCAATTATGTTTTATTCTTGTAGAACTTAAAGCACAGATGATTATTGTTTAGTCATCATCTTGGTTTCAGACTGTTAAGAATATTGCTACTCAATAAAATAGCTCTTACTCAAGGCTAGGAATAGCCTATGATCAGTGCCAGTTAAGGTTAAACTTACATTTTTCTCGGAGATTTCTATCGGGTGTGACATGCCAAGTTTGGACTTCGTAGCAGCCAAACCGGCCACCAGAGGATTGGGCACTCCAAATGGGCCTTCCTGGGGCTGGATATTGCTGACATGTTCAGGCTTTACTTTCAACGGAGGCAGGCCGAAACTCTGAAATCATGATATTGCTGTTTTAGAAATTTGTGTTAACTTTCTAAACTTTCAGTTAGAGAAATCAACTTACCATTTTGATATTTTTATAGGAACTGACTAATTTATATGTTGATGTGAATTACTTTTTTGTGATACACTTAAATTGAGAAAATCGTTTTGAAAATATCACAAGCCAAGTACGCCGACGATTCTCTGTCAATCAAATTGTTTGATGTCAAAATTGTCAAAACTGTTAAATCATGTCCACAGATTATTAATTGTATGTGTACGAAGTTGAAGCAAAGATTTTATATAGACAACATAATATCTTTGATTTGTAAAATGACAATTGATTTTATTTTCTTCAATAACTCAATAAATAATACACTTGAAAATGGTTTGAAATATCTGAAATGGGTCAAATCAAACTGTTATTTTTCTATTAATCTATTAATTTTGTGAGTTGACACATAGGAATACGAATAGGAAAGGCATATTAATAGTTGGTTCTTAATACAGTAGATGGCGCTAATACAAGTCTTTTCCTGTTAGCTGCCGCAAACCAGTACCTAGCGGTAAGTAATAAAATTTGAAATGAGATGAGATCGTGAGACTCATTGTTTAGGTCAGTTGTCATCCTAAGACACATACAAATTAAATTAATGTTTGCGTCGTGACCGTTTCCCCGATGATTGTCCCCATTATTTGGGTAGGTTGGTCAAGATCTTTATAAAACCCTCTCCACGAGCTCGTTGCAGAGAGCTGGTGGGGTGTTTCTAGTTGATGCTTTTTTTGTGAGGGTGGAAATTCATCAAATCACTTCTCCTCCCTCCCTGGTTAGGGCGAGTGGATGTGTCAGACTCTATTTAATTATAAACCATTCCTTTTTTTGTTCTCTGAGCTGGGTCCGTACATTAATTATTGCGCTTGCTCCCGCAACTCCGGCTGGACATCAGTCCTATTGGGCCCTATCTATGGTGAAAAAAGAATTTAAGCGTCAAAAGAAAGAAAGGTTACTTTCATAAGAAAGGAATTGAAGAAGATACCTACTATAGGTAGCTACCTACCTACATTAAAATTCCGAATTGTAATGCTAATTATTATTTTTATTTTACTTAAAAACATAAGATAATTGCATAAATATTGGTGATTTAACTGCATGAAGGTTAAGCTAAAAGCTAAAAAAGTATCCATAGTACCTACCATAAATTCTCATTGACCTGTGGCATTATTAATTAATTTGTCACCAATATTTTTGTATTGTATCTATGTGCGGTAATTTGAAGATTTTAGTTATTAATTCTTATTTGGTGTATTTTTTTGTAAATTTATTTGTAAATTAAGTAGATATTTATTAAAAAAAACTAGCAATGGCATCTTCAACGCGGACACGAGATAAGAAAGAACTGGTAACATTTTTTAATGTTTATTAGTAGGTATTGTGTTACGGGAAAATACCAAAGGATTTTACTTGGCTGTTTCATTTGAGTCAACCTGAGGTCTGACCACCGCGTCAGACCGTTTTGTTTACTAAATAAGTCAAATTTGAAAATGAAACAAATCTACATACCTATTGGCCTTTAACGGCCTTTTTTGCCTTCAATGAACAAGAATGATGATTCAACTCAGTATTTGTCAATTGCTACTATGGCGAGAGGGATTATCAGACTCTTACTGACTAAAAACCCCTCTATCCTCCTCGAAACAATTTGTGTGTTTCACAAATCCACAAATTTTTGTTCAGGTTCTGGGTGGCTTGTTTATATGGTTTGTTAACACATCCACGATACAGGAGATATTTAAAGCAATAAAACTTTGTCCACTTTTTATATAAAACATAATCCAAGTACATAAGTAAGTACTCACCTCATAACACTGGCTGTTTCATAAAGAAATTAAGGAGGCATATTTCTACCACCAACTTTGCAGTTTGCAATACAATTCCTAAACACTGGCTGACCAATTCTATGTTATTAAAACTTTGCAATGACCTCCCGCGAACCGATTCTTTAAGAAACGAGCGTAGCTACTCCTTCTTGAAAGGCCGGCAACGCACGTGTGACTCCTGTGGTGCTGCAGGTGTCTCGGGGTGGCGCCGATCACTTACCACCAGGGGATCCATCTGCTCGTGTGCCTCCTATTCAATAAAAAACATATTTATAATATCTAGCAAAATATTTAAAAATCGAAATTATGTCATGATCAAACATCAAAATCCATTTTCAAAACTCGTTTAAGGATCCCGAGGAAATTATGAAACGAAAGTTTCGCGCCAAATGTCGTTTCCGAGCTGTAGCTCGTATGGTGATGGCTAATTACTATTGGATGATAGAAGCTGCTGAGCAGTACGAAGGAGTTGAAGATGTAAAGAGGCGAGTTGCGCAAGCTGTGCGCGGAAAGGCCAAGAAAAAACGACTGTTGGCTATCACTGTAAGGCTTTTGATCACATTATGGCCTTACGATTTGTATATATTGTGCTTAAACTTTTTGACGTACGTGATTCCGAATGGTCTTTTTATTGTGGGGGGTAATATAGAAATATAGTATTGTTTCTCTCGCCCCAAGACACTTACCACCCCGATATTTCTCCTGCTGCGAGCCGAGGCCGAGGTACTTTACTATTACCTAGATACGCCTGACCCGTAACCCCAGCTGAATAAATACATATTATTGATTTGTGTCTTTGATTTTAAGTAATAATATCGATTTCCTGGCATACAATTCACGACATTGATTTTATAAAATTTATTTATGAATACTTTTTCATTTTTTCCTACTTATATTACTCTAGACCATAGAAAATTTAAGTACCTACATAGTTAATTTTCTAGACCATAGAGATATTGGCTAACTTACAAATGAAATGATAAAGTTTTACAGGATAAAGCGCTTCTGAATAAGCCTAACAGTGAAAGAACTGATGAAGAGAAGAAATATATTTATCGCATCATTGGAGGACTCAAATGTTTCAAAAAATATCCAAACGTAAGTGTACTGGATTTTGGCAAGTTGTCATAACTTTAAACGGTTATTTCTGGTATATAAATATAATCTGAAACTCGGAAACGACTCCAACGATTTTTAAAATCGTAGTAGGTATATTATACAGGGGTTTTCGAGGGAGGAAAGATAGGATTAATGTTCAACTAATGTAAAAAATACCTTACAAAGATCGGTAATACAGATTAAGTATTAATATAACGTGTTACTTCTACAATACCTTAGGAAATGAAACTCACTTGCCACTTATTGGAACCTAATGATCATCCTTATCATTCCCAGCATGTAAAAAAGAAGTTGGCGGCGGTTACCTACTTTAAGTACTATAGCCCCAATCGAGTGATAGTTCGTCAACACCACGAAGCGCATGCGCTGTATTTCATAGTCACTGGTGACGTCATCGTTAGCCAGTCTGTATTTGATGAGCTGCTGCAGCAATATGTTCAAGTGGATATTGGTATCATGCATGCAGGGGATATGTTTGGCGAAGTTTCTCTTCTACATAACATTAGAAGGACTGCAACTTGCACAACTGCTGGTTCTTATAAAAACGTTATTAGTCGAAATAGCTACATAGTAAACTTGGAGATTGTGTTGTCTTTTTTTCGCAAGTTGCAACTAGTTGTTGTAAATGTTGTATGTAATCAGATGCTGCAAAGTTTTTAAGCTAAGTAAGGTTAGGTTTTTAACCTAAGAAAGTATTTAAAAAACTGTGAGAACATTAACTGTAGTTAGAAATATGCCTTTTGACGAATATGCCTGGGTTTTTAAAGAAATAGAGTATTCAGACGAAACAAATTATAAGTAGATTTGTAGGATTTTCGTCAATTTGATGCGAAGTTACGACTGATCGCTTTATATTGTGAAGTAAAGCTATCGAATAAACTGTTACTTGGTAACTACCTATCGATGTTTCTGTTAGCAACACAGATTGTAGTTTATTTGCTACAGATATTATAATTGTCGATAAAATATCTGTAGGTCATTGTGAGTTATTGGCAGTAATGAAAGAAGACTTCAAAAATGTACTCCAAGCTTCGGTTCAGAAACAATGGGATGAAGTGCGACGCGCTATGTCTGCATTTACATACTTTGATGCTCTTGACGAGGTACGAATTTAAATATCAATTTTCATCTTCCAAGCGACTTTTATCAACTCTCCACAGTGCTGAGCCTACTTTAGCTTTAAATCTCTTTGACAAATTTTGGTAGATCTTGACTAACCGTAACGGCAACGACAAATGATTTAAGAAAACTATATTATGGATTCTCGAGAAGTTCAGAACCAATCTGCGAACCGAAGTTAGATGTGATATCCCCTTAATCAATATTTTTGTGTTATAAATTGAACGGATCAATTAATTTCTTTCGCAGGTAGCTCGACGCGAAGGATGTATTGTGGCTAAAATGAAATCATACAATACAAATGATATAATACTAGGAGATGGTTGCGGAATTCCTAATTTTGTGTACTTCATCTTATCAGGACAATGTCAAATGATAGAGACTGTTCAAGTGACTGTCACACATCGATTGGGGCACACCTATTATACGCTATACGATCCCTTTGTAAATATAAACTTTTGTACTGCAATTAATATGTCTTATTATGAAAATTTTAAATTATGATGGAAATAACCCAATTTTAGGTCCCAAAAGAAGAAAGTGAACAGGACATTGACGTGAAATATTTCAATGCTTACAAAGAAAAAGTTAAAGAAATGCAACAGTTATCACAGGAACTACCAGAAGTTATGCGAGCAAGTTCTAAACGATTAGAAAGTATAATGAAATTTTCAGATGTTAAACATCACTCAAGTTCAACTAAAAAAGACAGTTTGACTACGTCAGATACGACAGCGCCGTCTGGAACTGCGGATACATCGTCAGCAATGCGGTCTTCAATGGAAGCTGATTTATCGTCACCTGGTGAACAACGATCCCCTAGCAGATCTGTTCTTCTATTGGCACCTTCTGAACACCGAGAATCAGTGAGGTAAATATGTAAAGTTTAGGGTAGGAGAGGATTTGAACCCTCTCCATCTATATCCAAGAGTAAAAGAGCTGCTAAGGTTTCGTCATATATGTAAAACGGGGTGATTTTGTGGCCGTGCATTTAATACGATGATGCGACTATAAGTACAACTACGAACATAAGTACAATTTTATTGAGATAAATTTTATTCTTACAGGTTTAGCGTGCAACATCAATTGAGACCAAAAAACCTTCGGACTTACTTCATGCAGGTTAGGTGATCATTCTTATTTAATTCAAAATAATTTGTATAAATAGAAGTAGTTTTTAAAAACGATTTCTTTGAGATAAACTTTATTTTATAATCCGGTTTTATGAAACTGACCCACGAAAGAGAAAGTGTTCAGTTAATATATTAATTTTACAGGTGTGCCGATTTTATCCTGGATCAACATTCGGGTTTGGTGAGAACATGCGGGACCGTCGGATTATTGCGTTGACCCCCGTCGACTGTATGCTATTGCCAAAAATGTGGCTTCTACAACGAAACACCGCTAATATCTGGTCACGTATCCAACACTTTTTGGAGAAAAAGGTAAAATTATTTACATACATTTTATTAACATCGTGTATACGGCGTCAATGCTGTAATTTCTTGAAGGAGCGAAAATACCCAATGCCTTTGCTCGACTCAAGAATTGAAAGTCTGCTTAATAGTAGCATTTTCACTCAAACAGAACTAGAATTAACTTTACCAATCGTTATCGATTTAAATTGAGTCGGACTGTATAGCTCTTATTTGACCCAGAGAAAATTAAATAAATCGCCATTGACCTCGCCAATTTGATCCATAAATATTTATTAGATCTGTGATGGTTTGAAAGAAAGAGAAAGAAGGTAAATAGAGCGCTCCGAGGAGTTGTGTATACTGATCCTTGTCTCATCTTTTCACCGTCATCCAACACGATAGCAGTTTCATCGTTGCATTGGTAGTCTAAAACAGTATTTTTCGCGAAATTTTCTGCTTCGCGTAACAAAAATGCAGGATGAACCATCATCGCTTGTAATATTTTTATCCTTCAAGAAAAGGGCGTACCTACCTCTGATTGACGCCTGCAATGCATTTTTGTAATTTCTCTGGTATACAAGTGTCCATAGAGGATTCTGGATATGGCCTGTTCAATTTTATCTACTTTATTTAATTGAGAATTGTTTTGTTTTTATTACAGATACCAACAAAGCGTCAGCTGTTCCGTGAATTTGTCTCTGCACGTCGCTGGCAGGAGTTTCGTGATCAGCTCGTGGGTGATATTGTAGCGCGCTCTAAAACCGTCAATTTGACATCCGTTCATGATGTGCCCTACTCTATTCGCATGGAAGAGATGCTTGATATTTGAACGAGGTGTTATTTTGTTGACCTAACATACAAGTATTAATAAAAGATATTCGAAAAGTTTCCTTTTATTAATAACTTCCTAGAATATTCATAACCTCATTGTCCCTTCAATTCAGGGTATAGCCAGTTCATTGAGACCAGGAATCTTTCTGTTTACTGGTCTTACTGAAATACTAAGTAGCTGGAAAGAAAATAAAAAGTAAAGTACGTCATAATTCTGACCGCTAAATGTTCACATCATAGGCAGAACTTTGGCGTCGCGCCTTCTATCATTTTGTGATCACACGATAAAAACTAAGAAGGCTTTATGTTTTTTTATAGTAGGTACTTGAGCACCCATTTGGATCATGGGGGCGGAGGCCCGTGGATTCACATATGACGTATCTATGTCCTTAAATGTAACTAGATAGCGATATTTCGGTTCGATGACTGAGCTTCTTTTAGACTTTACCTTATAAGTAAAATGTTTTGTATAGGTCATATATTTTCAACTTAGGATTAATGGGACGAACTACTTTTTATTTGAACATCACATAATTAAGTATTGAAAGTGGACTTTCAAAATACGTAGAATAATCTCGAAGGTTCTCGAATTGTGGTGTGTGTATCGAAAACACATTCAAGCATTCAAGGTCTGTTTATTATAATGCTTGTATGTGACAAAGTTAGCATGAGTTTGTGAGTTGTTCGGTTGTGCGGAACCTAGTTTTTATTGGTCTAGTTTTTGTTTTATTTACATCCTACCTGTATCGTATAGATTTATGCAATATTGTTATAGAAAAATATATAACTTAAGATCTTCCAGGTTGGCTTACCGATTGGCGGGCAACTTCCAGCGGCTTATAGCTGAGTAACCTACTTGTTGTCTGTAGGTACACCTTGCTAGTACTTGGATGAAATGTTAGGTTTTTTTTTTTTTTTTTTTTTTGTGAGGGGAAAATCATCAAATGACTTCTCCCGCCCAGGGCCGGGCAGGAGGGAGTGTCAGACTCTTACTGACTAAAAACCCCCCTGTTCCTTCTCCTGCTCTGTGCCGAGGTCGCGGTACCTTATTGCGCTTACCCCGCAACCCTGGCTGAAATGAAATGTTAGGTTGAGCGCTTGTTTTACGCCTAAGTAAATATTAAGTAGTTCTCATTAAAGTTATGCGACCCTTGGTTCATACAAATATGTATATTCAAATTAATATGATATAAATAGACTGTTTAGACATTGTAAAACACTATCTTGAAAAGATCTGAGGAACATTTTGAAAAGGTAACTTTTTTTAATAATAGGTCTTTACCTTAGGAAACTACTAGCCCAATAGCCTTTTCCAGCTCAGCAGCGCATGCGTAGATTGGTCTACTTGGTGATGGCGTCTGGTAACCATGGCAACCGGTTTTGGCGGGAAGCGCCCACGCTTGGCTATGGCTAATCCAGCGGAGACATTCATCAACTCGCTCACGGCGATAACTAAACACATTCGACCGCAGTGCACCGCTCCGAGCGACCGCCGCGCTACCGACGACAGCCACGGCTGATCGAAAATTCGCGACTGTAATGTTTAACGTAAATAAATAAACTAGTTTAGTATAGTATCAAACGATTACGAATAATTACGATTCTAACAGTTGCATCGTAGCATAGTGTTGTCCTATTCGAGTCATTGTTGTTACTTTTTGAAATTAGAACGAACAGGTGAGTTATTACTCTATATTTTATTAACATGGAAATAAATTCTATTTATTACTTATCTGTGTTAAGATGAACAGGTATCTTTATGTGTTAATTATTCATAATGTATAGAAAATGATATTTTAATTTTAAGCGTTTATTATTCCGTGATTACTTTGTTATTATTATAAGCTAATCCAAAACAAACAAGTTGATTGGAGGATATCGTGATCCACTTTCCTCGCAATTATCGTTTGCTATAAAAAAAGTATTTTGTATTTTCTTTTAGTAAATTTTATCAGAGCTGAGACGATATCATATATGATGCCGTATATTAAATAGGTACAACAAGTAACAATAAGCGTGTATTCATTACCTAATTAACCCCTGTCTGTCGAAACGCAGACCTAAGCAAGTCCGTAAGATACATTGTGTTTTATGATTCTCTTACAATTAACAACCATGTATGGGAACTAAGTTATCGGAAAAACCAAACTTGATCCTGAACGTTTGTACTGATAACGTTAGAGTAGGTCACTCTCGAGCTTCAAACGATAACTATTCATCTAGATAAGGTGAGCCTAGATTATATCTAGTTACGCAAATATTCATGCCTTGCTTAAATTGTACAGGCGTTTGTATGAATAGAAATATGAAAATTAAAGAAAATGTTGCAATTACATTCTTTGATTAAGAGAGAGAGAGAGAGAGGGGGAGAGAGAGAGAGAGAGAGGGAGAGAGAGAGAGGGAGAGAGAGAGGGAGAGAGATTGAGTAAAGATGATATTATCAAAGTCGTCATAAATTATCTGAAACTGGTTCTCATTTTCAATCGATTTTTTATGATTGAACTATACGTGGTCTACTATATTAGGATAATATATTTTAATGAAAAGATCACTGTCTGTTGATTAAATTGCATCAATAATAAACAAAAAAACAAAATACAAACAACGCAATAATTCCTGCGCGTTAAAGTTAATGCATTTGACGCCAAAAATAAAAATTAAATTGAAAAATCGTTACCAACAAAAACATGTCCACTTTATCACTTACAAAGCCAGACATTTACCAAACACAAAGTACTAAAGTACCATAATTTTTGGGTAAAATGTTTGCAACAATAAAATGGACGTTAAGTCAATCTGCAAGCAGTTTAACTCAATTGACAGTCCGTTGTTCTAATGGAATAATCTTCCTATTGTAGTACAAGGTTATATAAACTGCAAAATATTTCAGAGCCTTTAAATAATATGTTGATGAAGTCATATTTATCTATTTACTTACATACATTTAAGCAAGCGTGAAATTTCGTTGCCGTAACGCCAAGTTAGGTGTGAAGTTTGCCTAAGGCAAACTTTTAAAATGACTTTAATGTATAATATATTTCTAATAAGTAATAGGAAATGAGCAAAACAAGGCAAAATTCGAAATTTGTCCGCTAAAACTTACTGTTTCTACGTTTAGTAACGCACAAATAGAATATTTTCCTTATTCCTGTAGGTACATTCCTTTTTTTCGATTAAGGAATACTTTTTTTATCAGCCTTGTGTGGGGCAGAAGGGAATGTCAGACTCTCACTGACTAAAAACCATTCAGTTCCTTCTCCACCTCTGAGTCTTATTCAATATGGTGTGTGTACAATAGTCTTGTAGACGCAGATCAATTAATCGATTTTAAAAGTATATAATATTATAATTATAAGAACTTTGTGTCAGACGTGAGAAAATACTATTCATATCATGAAGGAAAATAAAAATTGTCAATGATGATTTTTACGCCTTCTAAAGTAGTAAGCCATCGAAAATTTTGGTTAAGGAATAGTTTAGCCGGGGTTGCAGTCAAGCGCAATAAGGTGCTGCGGCCTCAGCCTACAGCAGGAGAAGGAACGTGTGGGATTTTAGTCAGTGTCTGACTCTCTAGATGAGAGAAGTAGTTTTATGACTTTCCCTCCTCAAAAAGTTAAGTAATAGGTAGTTACGGGACCGAATATGTATATTAAATTTAAAAAAATATACAGTAGGTACGCGTAACTTTGCTTTGAGAGTATGTCACAAACTCTACGAATACTTAAAGAAATCCTTTAGTGACATTACACTGACTAGCTTATACAAATTAAAGGTGATAGAATTGTCTGCTTACGTGTAATCTATTCTTGTACATTAGCAACACAGTGAAGAGTTTCTTTAAGTAGTGACTAGGATCTGATTTTTAATTGTTAACCTGGATAGACACGATTGACATGCACTTACCGTTCTGTTGGTGAACTCATCCTAGTACCTACGTGTTTTCATGAGCATATATAATAGAATCAGTCTACGAGTATTGTAACTTATTTGACAATCAATTATCACATATCATATGTGAATGGGTAACGTGACCGACAAGCCTTACGATATATTTTTTAGAACTAACACGCCTGTTAGCCTTGTTATGCGCATTTTTGGTATCCAAAATGACCTGATGTAAGTTTTTTACTTTACCATCATAGGCATGATTTTTGCAACGTCTGTCCTTAACATTTCAACCTCGCTGCAAAACGTTTCCTGATGATGTTGTTATGAAATGCACGCGTTCGTCGCGAACGAAATGGTCGATGACGGCATACTCGGCCCCAGCCGACCACCGGGCAGGTTATCGGCAAATGAGCTCAATTGAGACAACACTTGTTCTGATAAGTTGTTATTGGATAACAGAGCCTAGACAAGCGTATACTCAATGTCAGATTAATTAATACTAACTTATTAGTGGATACCTGTAAGTAACATAATATACCCGTACGTGTATCCATAGGTAAAGTAAAACGTTACTTCGAAAATAAATTACTAGGTATTATAGTATATAATTTAATGTTCGAGGCTATCCTTGAAGCGTCAGCCATAACATTACATTGAAAAGAAAGAATCACGCAAGGAGATTAAAATGACAAAAATAAAATACGACAATACGGCCGAGTTTCTAGCATAAAGAAGCGTTTAAGTAAAAGTTGGAATATTCGCGAAGGCTTCAGGACGCAATGAATGGCCCAAATACGATTTTATTCATTTTTCACGACGACAGTGACTCGTACAAGCTGGCACTGAATTAGCTTTTCTTTCAGCCGGTGACGAGTTCGATATACATCGCTATGTTTTTATATTTATACCTAGGTATATCGAGTTGTTATTTTTCCATGTGTGTTTAGAATGGATTTTTGTGTCATAGAAAGTAGGCTAATATCTTTTATGTATTATGCATAAGCCTTGAAAGGGACGGGACGTCCCGAACTCATGGCTTTGTCGTTATTGTTCTTTTTTAATTAATTTGACTTTGATATTGATGTTTATAATTAAGTATTAAGTATGTAGTTTACAATGAATTTGGAAATAAACCTTAAGTACTTACAAGGTTTATACATTAACTAGCTACTCTCGCGCGGTTTCACGGTTTGATCGTAGCGTGATGTTTTAGCTAGATAGATAGCTACAATGTTCCTGAGTGCTATAGCTCGCTATAGCTCAGGATCATTGTAGCTATCTATCAGTGAAAGAATTTTGGCAATCCGATCAGCGGTTCCTAAGATTACCTCCTACATACAAGCTTCAAACTTACAAATTTTACCTCTCTATAATATTAGTATCTATAGACAAACATTTTAAAAAATAAGAAAAACAAACCGACAATCTTTTCGGAAATAATAATTCACATAATATGCGGTTTTATGTAAAAGAGTACGAAAGTGGATATAAAATGAAAGTCTATTGAAATGAGAAATCTAACGAAGATATTTTGTTCATAATCACCGGTCATTTCGTCTACTACTTGCTCTATAAAATATTCCATTTTCACTTACTGGTACATATATACACAACTCATTTATATAAGTTGTCTTGTCACTGTCACACTGTATTCCTTAGAAATTTATTTGGAAAAAACTTAAAGTCATAAATAAAAAGTTAACAAAAAAAGTGCACTTAGCCAAAGTGAAACCACAGCCAGATTACCGCATTAAAAATGTAAAGAACCTTTAACTATATATATTTGAAGAGTACGCACACAATGAGGTCTCTACATAAATGTATACCACATTTTCTTCTTTACAATAGGCACGTAGGAACAAAATAAATCAGTACTTAACTAACCTGTCACTCAGCTTTAGGGTTGTGGGCGAAAAACGGAGGCGTTTCAATGACTAACACAACTAGTATTACCTTATAAATAGTATATGCCAATTGATTTAGCGATACCATGAATATGATCACCATTGTTTACTAAAACCAATAGAATACCTATTAAGTTCACACATTACTTGTAAACAATACGACATTAAAGATATTATTGTCTTTGCAGTTAAGATTGTCTTAACATGATATTATGCCAATACGATTAAAAATTATGTACAATTCGGAACGAGCACCTATCTTCACCGACGAACAGACTGACAGACTAATATTCTATTTTGACGTTTCAAAATTACCTATTTGGATGGAACCACAGAATAGAATTTCTGTTCTGTCTGTGGATGGAACAAATGATTTTGACTTCGAATTTAAAATGAAATTTTTTTAAGGTCTGATTTGAGAATAAATTGTTTATTTCAATTTATAAAAAAACTTTGATTCCTTGCGTTGTAGTTGAGGGAAACTACTAAGACAAAGGAGTCTGGCCAAATAAGAAAAATATTATTGGAAAAGCACTGAAAATCTTATAGGGTGTTGGTATTCTTGTTATCGAATAGAAAATATATTGTTTCTAGGTATTCATTTGAGCAACTTAAGCTAACGTCCACTGACAGGTGACCCATAAGACTTATTTTACGATCAACTAACAAAAATCCAAATTAGTTTCGATTTTTACAAATTATTAAAAAAAGTCTAAATAATTCCTGTTTCTTACATATACTCGTTTATAATTAATTCTGAATATTCGAAACTAATATAAAAATTCACATTTAACGCTAATTCGTACGTGATTAATTTTATTAATGGCAAGAAGAAGATTGACTTGTTATGTTGCTAAGCATCACACACCAATATAACTATTTTAT